TTTCTTTCTCCTTTTCTTGAAAAGGGAATTGAAAACGTCACAATTTTGCTTTCCATCACACTACAAACGAAATACTTATAGAAACGGCTCGCAAACTCTACGAAGCTGGTGGAGTCTATATAGACTGAACTCAACAGATTGTTGAATGTGATTACAAGTAAAGACCTTAATACTGTCAATATATGTATCACAATCTTCTCGAAATACAAAGACCTTGCTATAGGTTTTGATCATGAAGCTCCTCGCACTCCCTTCATAGACCACTTTAAATTAATTCAGATAAGACAAGTTCTTGATGTTTTTGGTACTTCAAATCAAATTTCCCTTTTTTAAACAGAGAAGAGTACTAATTTTTGTTTCGTACTGTATAAAGTATAAAAGTATATGAATCTTTACAAAAAATTATATCTACTCTCTAGAAACTCTAAAATACAAGCAATTGTTGTGTACTTTGTTGTTGCAAAGAACAATGTAGGGAACATCTAGCACTAGAGATTGACATTAACAGAGCGTTTTCCATATCTCCATCCATTCGTCTTTCGATCAATTTGATTAGATACTCTAGGAAAACTGAATCAAATGGCAACGTGATTGGTCCGCAGCTTGGGATGCCAAACTCTTCCTCGGATATCTTCAATAGCTCTTGGAAAACAGAGTTACTTAGATAACTTATCGGAAAAGCAAAACGGGTGTTATCCGCCGTGTAAACCACAAAACAGCCTTTTTCTAAGGCGGATGAGCTAGCAGATGTATTCGATATTTGAAATGAGATTCTTTTCCTGCTTAGGGCTGCTCTCTGTTGCCATTTCTTGGCCATCTTCATGAGCTTCTTTGTGTTCATCCTCGTTTTCAGGACAAAGATTTAGATCGGAAAGCGAGAAGGAGAAAGAAAGATAAAAGATTTCTGAGTTTTTCTTTGTATAACTCTTTGAATGTAAGTTGTGGTTGATGATGAATCCAATAGGCTTGTTGCATTGTATATATAATGAGAAACTATTTTAGATTAAGCTTTAGACAAAAACTAAGAGCAACCAAACCAGACAGAAACACATGCTTCTGTATTACTTATCTATAAGCATAAGGGTCCCAAGTTAGTAATCAGTCAATTACATGCTAATCAACTTGTGGATTAAAACATCGGGTGCGACACATAACCATGTGGGTATTGATCTTGTATGAAAATAATTGCATCAGATACAAAGACATGTTCAAATGAATGGGCGATGTAGAACTTGTAGGTCCTTTAAAGTTTTTAGTGGTTATAATAGGTTCCTTTCTTTGAATATTAATTCTATGATTCAACAATCTTCTTTCGTCGTAGTAATATTTGCTATTTTCAACCAAACCAAACCAAACCGATTAATTTTTTTTTAACCAAACCCCTTACG